GAGCGGCAGCTGCAGCGCGCCACGGCTGCACTAGCTGAACCGGGACGAAGAGGCGACACCGAGCCTTTCAGCCCTCTCTGGGAGAGACGGATACATACATATATATATATATACATATATATATATATATATTCATTCACACCTCGTCACCTGATTTTTAATTTCATCCGCGTTTTGTTTTTCAACATTTTCATCCTGACCGTAAGAGCGCAGGAAAAGTGGAGTTCAATGCGCAACCATGCTCATCATCTCCTCCCGCAGTGCGCTGCTGTCCGTCTACTACCCGCAGATCTTCCTCATCCTCACCAGCGGGAGCTACCTGTAGGTGTTTCAATGTTCACTCCATCCTTTTTACCAACAAGACAGTTGATGGTTTTTGTTTTTTTTTAGCAGAGTTGACGTCTGGTTGTGTTGTGTTGTGTTGTTCCATGTGCGTAAAGATGGGAGATTTACGCAGCAGTTCTGGTGTGAACAGGTAGGATGAAGGGGGAGACGGATGTGGAAAACGTTTCCAACGTTGACTCGTCTTCTCCGGACGTGTTGTGGTTGATGTTGTGATGTGGAAATATAGGCAGGTTATGTTGGAATATTTGGATTAATGGAATATCCAGTCGGTCCGAGCTGAGGGGAACATTGGTTGGATGTGCGTGACTTCTGTCGTTCGATCGATTTAATATGATTCCATGATGGAACCCGTTCAGACGTGATGGAAGGAATGCTGAGGAACTGTTCCACGTATTAGCAAAGTTACGGCATTTCTTGGTTGTTATTTTCACCATTGTGCCATAAATTGACACAATAAGTGTGGATTTGGACCAAAATGCACATCATGTTTTCTTTATTATTATTATTATTATTATTTAAATTATGATCTCATATGTCGACGAGGTAAAGTGCCGTGGTGGATTTACACCTTCGATCCTGGGAACACCTGGTCTGGAAAGTCAGGAGACGCGCATGGAAAAGAATGGGAGTGGGACAACGTTCGGGTCTGCCTATAGGAGCGAGGGAATGTAATGAGCGTTCTCACGAGGTTTAAAAGACCCCGGTGCCCACAGAGGGGGTGACGGCTGCAGCATGCATGCCTTTCATTCGTGACCAGGGCAGGTCCTGGAACCCGAAATAGCTGCGGTGGTTCGTGTTTTGTGCGGCGGGGCCGAGGTATGGGACAGAAATGACAGAAATTAACTGGGTTTAGTCCAGTTTCTATAATTAACTATTGTCCTCTGTCATTTGTTGTGAGGGATCAATGAAGTGACACGTGATGATATCTGAGGAAAGGGGTGAAGGACTCTCTGTCTTAATCCTTGGTCAGACGTTTTCCATAAAGTTAAGGACACTGTGAAAACAAACAACATTAAAAAAAAAAAAACGCTGGTTTTGGTCTTTGGTAGATTTTCTGCCTGTCATGCAAAAGGTTCCTGGTTCAATTCCCTGAGTTTCCAGGGATAAGTTGAAAGTGTTTCTTCCTTCATTTTGGTTTTCTGAAATCATTTTCCATGAATTTTAATTTCTCCTCTCACAGTCGTGCTTCTTGTCTTGTGTTTTGTGAGGATGGTGTGCTTTGTGTGCCACGGCTCTCCCTTCCATCTTCAATCAAAGGCAATGTCTCTGCTGCTTCACTTCCTTTAACTTTATCATTTAACATTAACTTAATTCTGGGGAGTTTTTAAGACTCATTTTTTGACTATTACACTAACTTTTTTTTTATACACTAATGATTTTTCAAATCCACCTTTTCATTGGCTGATTTTGCGCCATTTTTTTCCCATCGTTTCCTTTAAACTTTGGAATCTCACGCATCTCTCAAGTTCTTCACAATTGGAAACCTTAGTTAAAAAACAGACATTTTTACCGATCTTTGATGTCTCACCCTCTCTCCCCCGTCTCACCCCCTGTCCCCCGTCTCACCCCCTCCTCTGTCTCTCAGGGCGTTGTCTTCCGTGGTGGCCCTCGGAGCGAACATCATCTGCAACAAGATCCCGGGACTGGCCCCCCGTCAGAGGGCCCTGTGTCAGACCCGACCCGACGCCATCATCGTAATCGGCGAAGGCGCCCAGCTGGGAATCAATGAGTGTCAGTACCAGTTCCGCTACGGTCGCTGGAACTGTTCAGCCCTGGGCGAGAGGACCGTCTTTGGACAAGAGTTGAGAGTAGGTCAGTCTGTGTGAAGCCTGGAGTCGACTGACGTTTAGACTCGATGAGGTTTTCTCTTTAGATAATGTTAATGTTTACCTTAAATATCACAAATACAAATATCACAAGTACACAGGAAGTAAATACACAGGTGAACACGTACCTGTACTTTAACCATTAACCCTAATACCTGGAATGCACTGAAATGTAGGATGATAACGCAATTTGTGACATCAAAGAAACAAGGTCGTACCCAACTAATTAATTAACCTAATTAGTTAACAGGTAATACAGTGAGAGTAACTAGTGTTAATAAGACAGACTTTTTTTCAATTATTTTAAGCATTTTGGCCACTTAATAACTACAGTATTTGAGCTAATCCTAACTTATCATTTGCTAACTTTTGGCTAACATTTTGGCTACTTTGGCTACTTTGATTCTGTTTTATTGCCAACATTTACTTCCGGCAAATTTTTTTTTGGTCTTTTACTCTCACTTGAAGTTAATCTTTGGTCAATTTTTCGTCAAATTTACATTTCCTTCCAAATACAACCTGTCTACTCAGAAATCCTACACCCTTATTTCGCCAAGACACACTTTCCAAATACTGCGTCCTACGTTGCCGTGGACAAAGGAGGTGTGACTTGACGGATATATTTCAAGTTGTTCTGTTTGTGATCTGGATTATTAAAACCAAACGTGGCCGCAGCGCGTGAGTTCCACATCCGAGGAGTCAATAGTGTCGTGCGAAGACGTGAGGCTGGACACGATCACGCGGCCCCAGTCGTCCTCGGGCGGCCTGTAAACCCCATCCATCACATCAGAGGAAGCCGGAGTGACATGAAACGGCCTTTGAGATGGGTGGCCAGACTTAAGTGGAGGCATTTGTGTGTTTTTGCGAAGCCCAAAAATGCAACAAAAGGAACCTTCGAAATTGTTCTTAATTGTTTAGACACTAAAAGAAGAAAAGCGTGCGACATGAAAGGGTTTGAAAGGATCCTTAATGTCCCCAAAGGGAACTCCTGAGGGGTTAATAAAGTTCTATCCTGGTAGAGTCGCCTCAACTGTCACAGCAGAGGCAGTTGTACATTTTAGTGCGAAGAGTTCCTCCATGAAGAAGTGAACAAACCCCTGGCTCCGACGCCACGTTATCGACCAGTCTGTTGCTCACAGAAGCCTGGTCGCTCACATGTGAGCGTTTCCTATAAATTGCTTTTGAGTCCGAAATGTTTTGCTGCGGTCTTGCTGTGGGTTTGGACCCGTGTTTAATCTCGCAGCTCTGGGAGCAATCACTTTCTACACGGGCAGATGTCTGGACGCCTTTATTCCCTTTGTCAGAGGAAATGTCTCTTTTCTCTTGTGGTGTGCAAACCAGCTCACAGAGACACAGACATACCCTACACGGTTGTCCTCACCATGAGGACGACTGACTGGAGAGACAGATGAGCAAGAACGACTGCGTCTCTGTATGAAAAAGAAGCTAATTAGAGGGCTGTGAGTCAGGGTGTCGGATGAGTCACAGACACGTCGGTCGACTCCATTGACAACTGGTGGCCGTGCTGCGCCGGTGCTGCTGGTGAACCAGTCACCACTGGGTTTGACGGACCAGCCAGGCTTACGGACTCATTAAAGATTGAGAAAGAGCAGGGCGATTCATGCTAACCACTAATTGAAGTCAGCTACGGCAGCTGGATGGCAACAATGGAAGCCGGGCTTGAATGGGCTGTACAATCAAAACAAATCACAGCGCGAGAGGAAGGCTCCCATGTTTGGCTGTTGCATGCGCCCAATGCCACGAGTAATGCTCCTCATACGAAACATCTGAGCGACTCATGGACCTGGGCCGACGAGAGACGAATTCAGAGTTTGTTTTGAGTTATGGACTCGGGGAACCGCAAGGCCTGATGGTTTCAGCGAGTGAGTTTGTCAGCTTGGAGTGGAGCCACAAGAATCGCCTCCACCGGAGACGCTGAGCATTAATACTGTGGGCTGCCGAGGAGAACAAAGGTCCAGCGTTATCCTGATTGGACTCAGGATATCCTGTTACCAATTGTTGCGCCAATAAATTCATTTCCTCCGCCCCGCTATAAATATAAATGTGTTTATTCTGAAGTTCAAACGGTGACATTCTAGAGTGCATCTCAGTCAAGAGCCGGCCGCAGACGATTTCGACACGCAGCAGGGCGGTACGGTTTCACTTCAGAAATGCCGACGGACACGGAGAGACACTCAAGCCGTGTGAGAAACACTGACCATCCATTGATGTGAAACACCGGGACAACTACAACGGGACAAGGCCGAAGCCGAGGACAGCTCCCTCAGTCGGCCAGCAGATGTCACTTGTGTTTCCTATCACAGACTGGGGGACGTGGGACAGGACAGTAAAGAATAATAGAACGTTATGAAGAGGTGTGAAAATACGACCTCTGACTGTACTGCAGTACAGGGTAAAAGGAGAGTCAGGGTCATTCTTTTTAAATGCCCTTCACTGGGGCAGATAATTGTCAGGGGCTGGAATGAAGGTGGAGGAGTTTTAAAGACCGAGGCTCAACCAATCAAAGCCATAGAAAGTGAACAATAGGTGGAGGAGAAGAAGAGGTCAGGCGTGACCGGGGTGATTAGGTTCTAATCACTGAAATGTGGGACAAGACAATGTGGTGGACACATTTGTAGATTAATATTTAAAAAAAAAAAAAGGAAAAGGAAAATGGAAGTGGAAATTTATCACCATCACTAGAAAACTTCAAAAAAAGATCATAAAGTTTTAATGAGTCACATCTTGATTTTTGTAAAAGGCAAATCTTAAAACAAACCAAGGAACAATTTAATGAGTCACATCTTGATTTTTGTACGAGGCAAATCTTAAAACAAACCAAGAACAATAACAACATAAAACATTAATATTTTGGAATCATTAATTCAATTTTTTTTTTTTTTTTGATGTAAGCAATGGAACATTTAGTCACGGGGTCAGGTAACTTAGAACAGTTTTTCTGACACACCATCCTTTCCTGTTTCTTCTTGTTTTTCTTATTTTGGATGGGGGTTTTTTTTCTCTTCTTGTTTTTCTTATTTTGGATGGGTTTTTTTTCTTCTTTTTTCTCCATTGACTGATTGTTACATTTTCCATTCTTTTCCTATATTTGCTTAACTGATGGTAAACACTGCAAACTACTGTAACGTCACTGTAACGTCTCCATACGGTGGCCATAGTAAGTACTGTCCTAATATGAAGAATTTCACAACAATCACCTCTTGCTGTTGACCGTTGACCCCCCGCGCGCCCCCAAACTTCCTTCCAAACTGCCGTTCCCGTCCAACAAAATAAGTTAAAAAAATTATATCAGTGCAATTTCCCCATCGTGGGGAAAAAATACATACAAATATATATCGAAATTGAAATCGGTTCTTCTGGTCGACGCCACCGCCCTGCAAAAGCTGCGCCCCCCCCCCCCCCAAAAACTGGCCCCCCCCCCCCCCATTTTGGAAACTCCTGATTTGGAGTGTCTAATTAAGCTGTGCAATTGACATAACAGCGGTGACCAGAGAAAATCAATGTAACGAGAATACACGCAAGCTACGCACACACTGAGGCCGTGTTGCAAGGCAAGCGAGCTAACCGCTACTCAACCATGATGCCTCCTAGTGGGAGCATAAGCATCGTTTAAAAACGTTTCCTGTCTTTGTACAATTTTAAACGCGTCAACATTTCGCCTGCTAAGCCCGAGGGCAGGAATTTAAACCTCATCAGTCCAAGCTTTGTGGCATCGTTTAGATCCAGCACAACGGAGGTCGAAGAATGAAGCAAACACAGACGTTTGTTTTTAAGGGTCGGACATAAATCCACGTAGCAGTTTTACAATGTTTTATTGTCCTAAAGAAATCAAACTCCAAAAATGTTGGATTCTCAATTGCATGTTGTGCAACCGAGTGGCATCTTTTCGTTTCACACCCCCCCGACCCCCCAGCCCTCGCCTTCACAATGCATCCATTTTAACAAACCCAGCATCCCCGTTTTTCTAACACGCGCTTTCCAGTAAAACCGTTGGGTCTCCAGCCAAGAAGACGCCAAAGCGACAGGCATTCTTTCCAAAGTGAAGCAGTTCTTTGAATACTGATTTTGAAAAACTGAGAAAAGTATCACCAGAACACTGTGCCTTTATGATCCGGCCCTTCATTTATTCATATTCTCTTCTGTTCTCTTCAGGCAGCAGGGAGGCAGCGTTCACGTACGCCATCACTGCAGCCGGCGTGGCCCACGCCGTGACCGCGGCATGCAGCCAAGGCAACCTTAGCCAGTGCGGCTGCGACCGCGAAAAGCAGGGCTACCACGACCAAGAGGAGGGCTGGAAGTGGGGGGGCTGCTCCGCTGACGTCAAGTACGGAGTCGAGTTCTCGCGCCGGTTTGTGGACGCTCGGGAGATTAAAAAAAACGCCAGGCGGCTCATGAACCTGCACAACAATGAGGCAGGGCGAAAGGTAAAGCAGTGTTTTGACTTTATAAAAAAACAAAACTGAGAGTGCATTGTTTCTACATATACATGGCTCTCAGTCCCAATGGAAAACAATCACCTGTCAATTCTGTCACTCGAAACCATTTGCATGGCATTATAACGTAAATCCAGTTCAAACCACACGGTAATCCTATACATAAATGGCTGCACAAAGGCTCTGGTCAGTGTTCTTGGCCTGTCACGCTCTTCTGTGGTCTGAGGAAAGGTAAAGTTAATTAGAGACTCCAGTTTTTGGGGTAGAAGATATCTCCCCCTCCTCCCCCGGTTTTTTGACACAAAGTTGGCATGACGGTTCGAGTGCTGACAGTCGAAGTGGTTGCAAAAAAAAAAAAACCTACCCAGAGATTGGTTTTAGGGCTATGAGTTTTCAATTGACCGTTTCAAATCCAATCGTCGGAGGCAGACGAGTTAAAGCTGGTGTTCCTGTTGTTCTCCGACAGAACGTTGACTGCTGACCTGAGTTAACCTGTAGTGTCTCTGTGATCAGATCCTGGAGGAGCGGATGAAGCTGGAGTGCAAGTGTCACGGCGTCTCCGGCTCGTGCACCACCAAGACCTGCTGGATCACCCTGCCCAAGTTCCGAGAGATCGGCTACCTGCTGAAGGAGCGCTACAGCGAAGCAGTTCAGGTGGAGCCCGTGCGAGCCTCGCGCCTCCGCCAGCCCTCCTTCCTGCGCCTCAAAGAGGCCCGGGGCTACCAGAAGCCCATGGACACGGACCTGGTCTACCTGGAGCGCTCGCCCAACTACTGCGAGGAGGACAGGGCGACAGGAAGCACGGGGACGAGAGGCAGGCTGTGCAACGGCACCTCCACGAACGCAGACAGCTGTAATGTGATGTGCTGCGGCCGAGGTCACAACACCCACCACTACACCCGCATCTGGCAGTGCAACTGCAAATTCCACTGGTGCTGTTTTGTAAAGTGCAACACCTGCAGTGAGAAATCCGAGGTTTTCACCTGCAAGTAAAAAAAAAAAAAAAAAAGAACCGAACGCGGGGTCCAAGGTATGACAAGGTGGGAAACTGAAGTGGAGGTATTTATTTAACATTTTGCACATCTTGACGTACGATATGGAAGGAGAGACGGCCGTGAAACGGAACGTAGAGTCAGAGGAGTCCCCGGGGGAAAATGGTCACAGGATGTCAGAGACACATTTGCTGGTACGAAACATTGACGAGATGGTTTAAAAAAAAAAAAAAAAAAAAGATCAGCTCTCGTTATGTCTCCATTGAAATGCTATTCGAAAGACGCCGCTCGCATTCGGTTTGACTCACAGCATCTGGTCTGCTAGGAAAGACGAGACGCTCCGACGATCAGTTCCAACCTGAGAATCACACTGTAACTGTTTGAACACTGAGAATTATTTATGTAAAAGGATCAAATACTTTCAAACTGTCAATCTTCCAGAATGGACATTTTCATGGCCTTTACTTTTTTCCCCCTAATCTTGCACTCAAATGAAAAAGAAGTTCTTTCGAAACAGTGGAGCTGATTCTGCTTACAACCGTGCTGATCGTGTTTTTTTTTTTTTTTGTTCGAGGGACTTGATCGCACGAGGATCCCGGCCGTTTGGTCACACCGAGAGCCAAAAAGGCAGAAACCACTGAGATGCTATTAAAAGCATCCAAGTTGTCAGTTTCGGCAGCACTTAAACTCCTGATTGTCTTCGATGGTTTTTCGAGGGCTCTCCGCTTCGGAGAAAACCATGTAAGCCTCAGTGAATCTCCATAGGGGTGCAATCAGCTCCTGATACATCCAACATTCCCATGAACGGCGGACAGGAGGAATTCCACATCGTGGCCTCTGCTTACACAAGGCCTTCCAGCGCGGTTTCGGCCTGCCTGGGTGGATGGCATGCGCCTTAACCACACAAACGGGGTACGAGAGGATCAAAGGCCTCGAAAAGCTATTTTTGGACCTTACCCTTAATGTTTTCAGAAATGTTTATTTAGGCTTTCTATAACTGACAAAACAATTTGAAGAGTATATTTTTATATGAGGAACATGGCACTTTGTCATTTTTACCTTGAAAACAAAGACACTATGTAGCAGTGTTTTCTAATGTTATTGTATTCAGATTTGAAGCTTATAAATTATTTGGAATTTATGTCTGTAAATACTCATCTGTGTTTTATCCGAGTAGGACAGGTTGTCTATTTCAATATAACTCATCCGTAGCTCACCAGTGGAATCCACACATTCTAATAGAGTACTTTAGAAGCAAACAAATACTGCGTTTCATGGAAATAAAGCCGCAACGTGTACCAGCTGCAGCCAGACAAGGGTCAGGACGAGGTACTGCTGTGGTGGAGATAATCAAACACACCAGCCGTGCCGTACATGGGTCTTTTTTTTTTAGGTCTTTTTCATCACTCAAATATTGTAAAAAAAAAAAAAATTAAAAACATTTGTACTATATTGATCCCATCTTTGGAAAACTGTTTTATTAGCAGCAGATATGCTGTTAACATGCTGCTCCTAGCATGCACCAAGCATGTAGTTCCTCTGGGAATTGAACCAAGGACGCGCTGCTTCTTAGGCAGACGTGCTAACCACTACGCTATGGAACCAACTATGGAAAAAAACAACATAAAATAAATAAATCGCTGTCTTATTTCTGTGAAATGCTGTAGTTGTGCAGCTTCAGATGAAGAGGTTTTCTGTCTGCTCACTTGTCTTAATGGTTTTTTGATAACAAGACACAACTGAGTGATTCTTAAAACACATTTACTGTTGCAAAACTGACAAGCTGGACAATTTTCTTTTCTTTCTTTTTTTTTTACAAATAAAATCTGAATTTTCTTTCTTAGAAAATCTTGGGTTTTATGTCGGATGTAGTCTGATTAAAACGTCTGCGAAGAGCTTTTACATCAAATTTATATTAAAATTTTTTTAAAAATATCTTCTATCACTTTCACATTTAAATAGGTTTTTTTAAAAATATCTTCTATCACTTTTTCACATTTAAATAGAAAAAAAAAACAAAACATTGATGTCGGTGAAATAAAGTGCTGATCCTGGGACTAAGAAGCCGTGGCCTTGACTGATGAGGTAATGTGTCAGGAGGTGAGCCGCCCATTGTGTTCACGCCACCTCCTAAGCCCGGCTCATTCTAACAGCCTCTTTTCCTGTGGTGCTGAAAAGCATTGCAGCCGGCCAGTGGTGCGCGAGTAACGGCTGTTTTGTTAGCCGTCTGAAATCCCGGGCCACCGGAACCGCGTAAGCTCTGTCCACTATAGCAGTGGATTGAGAGGAGAGTCGAGTCAACTTTTTTTCAATAGATCTGGTCCCAAGGAAATCAGAGGCAGCGCAAACAGGCTGAGGTTAGGGTGTTAGCATTGTTGAGGTGTCAGTGCTGTGCAGCTTATCCAGCAACAGGGGGAGCAGGGAGGGATGGAAAAACCCAGACTAACGATTAGTCCGTTATATGGAGTCTGAATTCACTTTAAACTCATCTGATCAATGTTTACCCACAATCCCTCACAATTAATATATGTCTCCTAATCTCAACCTCTCTAGACGTAATTATTGCTGAACTCCGGATCAAACTGAACAAGAATTACGCAAAAAGTAGAGCCTTACGAAATACAACAATCTTCGTTTCAATTTACTTCATCTGTGTGAACCCTGGGCCTGTTTAGTTTGACACAACATTGTTGTACTGGCAGGAATTGAAGAATGACACACACAAAGCAATCTCCCTCTATTTTCATGTTTTTATAGCCATCTGCTGCCACCTAGTGGAAGAGTATTTAACCCTACCGCCTGCCAACACTGGCAGGAAATGAAGAATGACTCACACAGAAAGCTCTTCTTTAACACCCCTATCTATCTCTATTTTCTACTTTTCATAGCCATCTGCTGCCACCTAGTGGAAGAGTGTTTAACCCCTCTGCCAGTAACTATCATAGATGACAAAAGACATTTATGCATTTAGCAAACACTTTTATCCAAAGCGACGTACATGAGGAGCCTTAAGTATATGATTCCACTGGGACTCAAACCCAGGACCTAAGGCAGAAGCGTAAGGCAGGTGTGGTCACCACTACACCATAAAATATCATATAGGACAAATTATATAAATAATAATAACATAAATGTTTTCAGACCAGTAGAGTAAAATTGGATCATTATCCGTACACCTGATGATTGCTCAAGGCACGATAATGTGCCGCAACACAGGGGTTGAGAACCACTGTCTTAGACTGCAGTAAAGTAGACAAAGATGAACACATTAAGATCAGAGATTATGTTTGATTTTGATTAAGTACTAGTTTGATTGATTTTACTAAGTGTAGCCGTCATCATACTCTAAGACTATGACTTTGGTACCAAAGCGTTTAAAGCTTTTATAACGAGGACTTAATTAGACTGAAAAACAGTGATGCAATATTGCTTTAATAAGCCAGTCAGTGTGGCTGAACGTCGGCCCTTCATCCGTGTCAACAGTCGTAGTCATAATTCGGAAAAAACAGGAAGAACGATACACTACTATTCCTATTTTTCAAAAACAGACCAAAAGAACAGAAACATTTTTCATTTTGTCTTTGAACACAGAACGTAGAAACTCTGGTCTGATTTCGTCTGAACCACCGTTATTTGTTTCTATAAACTTAGAGTACCTCCTAACATGTCTCCTAACGGTACGTTTATCTGAGAACCTGCCTCTCAGCTGAGGACGTCCGTTCCTCTGCAGTTGTTCACGGGTCTTTCCTCACGGTTTTCAGCAGCAAGTTTCCATCTCTCTCCTCCACCTGGTAACCAAGCTCCCTGAGAGCAGAGTAGTCGACCGGGCCGCGACGCTCCAGGTCGGCCACCAGCGCCTGGTTCTGCGGGTTCTTTTCCAGAAGGTTCCTAATGGCGAAGATGGCCCACTGGCTGATAACTGTAGACGTCGAAGTTAAGAAACGAACGAGACACAAGATGCAGAGACTGATTCTTGCTTCATTTAGTCTTATAAATTAATAAGATGCAGAGACTGATTCTTGCTTCATGAAGTTTTATAAATAAAGAAAAAATGAAATGTTTTTTTCGTTTCGTCGTTTGATGTATCTGGATTAACCATGATTAATTATGACCTTGATTAATTTTGTGGTTATTGTATAGCACCTAAGTAGAACACCTAAATGTTCCTCTAGTTCAGCTGTGTCAAACATACGGTCCGCGATTATAAGTATATATAAGTACACTTCATGTTGATGATGTCTTGTAAAAATGAAATTTCACTAAATATGAATGTTTTCTGATGCACTTCTTTGCACAAAAACTCTTTCTAAATTATTTCTAATTCTTCATGATTAAATATAATCTGCAGATAAGACGGTTTCTGATGCACTTCTTTGCACAAAAACGTTCTAAATTCTTTCTAATTCTTCATGATATAATCTGCAGGTAAGACGCAGGATACATGGGTTGTTGCTGTCGATGTTGCAGTTGTCCAAGATGAGGGCGATACCGTCCAGTTCCCTGACCTGAAAAAAAAAAATCATAATCATGACATACAAACGTGATCCAATATAAAGTAACACAGCTCAACGCCGGTCAAAGAAATAATAATAAAACTCATCAAAGCCGTTCTGATAGAGCTGTCATGACATTGTTTTTGTAGTAAAATCAGACATTTTGTAATGATAATACCCGTCTAAAAACTGTCTGGCTAACTCTTTAATAGCTATCATTTTACCACATTAGCATACATGAGTTAAGTACTCTTCTTGTTCTAATTTGTAAAAGGAAATCCATGAATTTTATCCTTGGAAAATTAACATTTTCAGGGCAGCTCTGTGTCTGTCTGCTGTCCTCACTCTCTGCGGTCTAACAAAGCAAACATACCGCAAACACAGACTTCCCATTCTCGTAAAAAAAAAAAAATCAGCAGACGTCTCGTTGGTACCGTTTAAATCTTCCATAGAAACATTACAGTAAATGTGGCGTTTGGTCGCTACGGCCCTGTGTATCCAGCAGCCATTGTTTAAAAAGAAAACAAAGGGCAGATTCATTATGGAAAAAAAAAAAGACCTGAGTGTTCCTGTCCTGGGCAGAAACCTCCAGCTTAAAGCAGTGGTGTGGTTGTGGGTAATAGTGTATGACTGTCACAACAATGATCTGCTCTGTTTCATTTGTCTGACTCCACGGGCTCGGCTCACTGTTGCCCTCCGTCCACTCCCCGTCGTGGTTTCCCCTTCAAATGGACTGGAAGCTGCCGAACACCGGCGAGCTGCTGAGTTTTACCGAAATGGAAATGTCATTTAAACTGTCGGGAGAATCGCCGCCTCTGACAAGCGCCGCATTTTCCGCTCCGAGAAGGCGTCTCGGTGTGGACGTGGATGCTTATGTTAACGGTCGAACCCGTGAAGAGATGAAATAACAAGTGACTGGGCCTCGACTCGAGCGCAGCACATGAGGTTCACTGCTTTTGCATGCACATCTTAAATTACAATATCTCCCAAAGGTGAAGAGAATGACATTTGGTTTACTGGAAGAGATCTCAGTGAAAACAGATATGGGGTGATTTCTGACCACTGACAGACCACAGATCAGCATCCATAAATATTACAGAGAGGCCAATAGAGGGTGTCCATCCCACAAACATTCCACCAATCTGTTTCTATTAGCTGGGACTGGCTCTACGACCAGGCCCCGTGAGAGACTGCGACTCCGCCCCGTGCACCTCATTATTTATCTCCCTTTTATCTCGACAGTCAGATGCTGAGAGATGGAGACGAGGCGATAACATCTCGACGGAGCGACCGGTTCGTGTTTCATGCGAAAGCAAGCTGTTGTGTTGAAAGAGCCCGTACTGTACGCTGGAAGTCAGAGGAGCACAGCATCGAGGGGATGGCTAGTTATTACGCTTCTTTCCAGATACTAGTGGTTTAACGCGGCAGATCGACACAAGAACCTGGGCTCAGATACAGATGACGATTACCACTGGCCACAAACCACTCCTTTATCTGTCTGTCCGTAGGATTACGCCAACACTAAACCGACTCAGATTAAATTTTTATGGTAACGTGGGCTGGAATATGACCTTTAAAGTCGGAAGTGGATGTGGATAAACTGGCAGCTCATAGACTGTATTTTTCCCCCCACTAGTTCCTAAAATGTTGAGTAAGGGCATTAGACGTGTCCAAAACTTAAATGTGTTGTCTCCGTTTACTTACCCCAGTCTCAAAACTAAAAATACTTCTTAGACACTAGGTACTTCCAGTTTCCATTCACTGAACTCCAATCCACACAACAGAAGTGTTACTACAGTTACTACGACCACAAACCTGATCGACCGAGACATTGACATCAGGTTTCTCTACCTCTTTCTTCAATTCCTGCGAGTGTGCCGAGACATTGACATCAGGTTTCTCTACATCTTTCTTCAATTCCTGCGAGTACATGGGTGTGGTGTTCAACTAAACAGACCCAGATTTCACACTGTAAATTCTGAGTAATCTGAAACTAGAAGATCATTCTAATTTATTACATTTACTTTTTGTAAAATTTTTGTTTAGTGGCACTCTATGGGTTTTTTCTAATGTTATTGTACCACTACACTTGGTCCGTGACTCCTTGGGGGTTCACGTAGGTACAATAAGGCGTAATATAATAATAACATTTTCAGTCATATTTTAAGTTACTTTCTTTTTTCTTTAGAATTTAAGATAACAATAATAATACAGCTACAGACATCAAGCTTAGCATTATATGTAAACTTTTATAGGCAAGATTAAATAGGATTTTATGCAATTCTAGTTTTATACACAATAAAATCCATACCTTGTCCTGGTTGATGGCATTGCCACAACAGAGGTTTCCAATCAGCCGTATGAGGTGAGCCTTGAAGCTGACGACAGGGGAATGAGACGAGGAGTCTCCATCGGCACCGGAGGTGGAGAAATTCTGAGCGGCGCTGAAAATGTTCTTGCTGGCTTTCCCGATGGCGTGCACCTGTTTCAGGAGCTCTGTGGGGGGAAATAAAGACGCAGGAGTCAGACAAAAGGAAAAAGGTTTTGAAGAAATATTAGCAGCAAACCTAACTATTGCAGAGAGAATTGTTTTTTTCAGTATCAAGTTAATAATTTATGTCAAACTTAAAGGTATTAAAACCTTATTTCCTGTCAACGTGGAGAAGGGTGGTGTACAGATATTATATTTGTTTTCGTGTGGGTGATTTAATGCGAATCAGCAGACAGCCAACTCACAGCCGCAGAAACTTGAGAAGTTGGTCAGTGAGGTTGTCTGATTGAATGTGTGTGTGTGTGTGTGTTTTTTTATTACCAACAGCGGTCACTAGCAGGTCAGGGTGGTCCTGCAGGAACATGAACTGCTTGTGGTCTGAGGTCATCTCACACAGAACATCCAAAAGACTGATCACTGTCAGCGCCTCCTGCAGGACCTGCAGAGAATTACAGCCAGCAGGTGTCAGTGCCATGAAGGAGCTGTGTTCAAAATAGTGTTTGATTCTCAAAGGTGACATCTGCCCTGCTATACCTCATCGCTGGAGGTAGAGCCTGTAGCAAGCGTAAGCACAGCACCGCAACCTTTCTGGAAGCAGTTAGCCAGCAAACAGGCCAGATCAGGTGGGACACCAATATCCTCAGATTCCTCTTCTTTCAGATGAGCAAAGACCAGCTCCAGCAATGTAACCCTGTTGGTCACAAACACGCAATATACATTTTAGTCCACACTTTGGCTGTTACATTTATGGATTTTTTTCTATTTAAATCTTAAATTTACTCCAAATAACTTCTATCAGTTTGCCAACATGACATTGACAGGCAGAACAATTAATTACCCTTTCACTAGGTGGCAACAGTTGGCTATAGAAACAAAAAATAAGTGAAAGACTCAAAGCTGTTAAAGATCAACGTGTGTGTCTTTCTTCAATTCCTGCGCATACATCCGCCTCTTGTGTTTGACTAAACAGGCCAGGATTTAATACTGAGTAAGTAAATTGTGAGTAAATTTAAACTAGCAGATCATTTGTGTTTCATAACATACTTCTGGGCCCTTTTTGTTTGGTTGTGCTAAATACAAAGATACTGAATATCCCTTTTGCTAAATATATTTTTTTAAAGGAACACTGTTATGAAGAAACTGCAATGCAAAGAGCCATTTACCTTTCAGGATGAGACATCACCGAGTACATGCTCCCCACCAGAGCTGAAGATCTGACAAAATGCTGAGTTGCAATAAGAACCCTGTACATTCACAATAGAAACACACAGTTATTTTTTTAACACATAAAAACACTCAATTGTTTTCTTTTTGAGGTTTGATCACATTTGTCTTATGCTATGACTCGTACACGACTTACGTCCAGTCCAGGTTCGGCTGTGTCCTGCAGAGCTCCATCACCCAGAGGGCCAGCGGGATGTTCTGTGGCTCAGACAGCTCCTCCACCTTGGCATCATCCAGACATGTGTGAAGAACCATGGATGTGTAATCCAACATCTTCTCATCATCACTCCTCATCAGCTGCCTGCTCACACAAATTATTATTCGAGCCCTTAATTACAAAGGTGTCAAAACCTTTACAGTAGTTCTCATATGACGAGTGACAACTTACAGAAGAAGATTGGGGCAGATATTCTTCCAAATGTCATCTTTGCACTTTTGGTTTCCTACAGCCAAGTTACCAAGGAACTGGATACCACAACGAAGAGCTGGAGAACATTCAGGTTTGGAGATTAGAGCATTATTTTAATTCAAGACACATCTGATTTGAAATTAAAAACTTACCTTCATATTTGCCATCCCAGAGATTTGAACATTTATTTTGAAGAAAGGTCAGAAGTTTAACTGACTCTCCAATAAAACCAAGAGACCTGGTGAAAGAATACAATAACAATAAATATTTATATCGTAGGGATTAGAATTTAGAATTCTTCCATCTATCTGTGATCACCTGAGAAGGTTCTGGTTGCGTGTGTTCTGGACACAAGAGGTTCTCTGGGCCCTGAAGCACTCGGCAGCCAGCTGTAACAGCAGTGTGGCAGTCTGTGGGTTTTCAGCATCTCCTGCGGCAGCCGGAAGGTCGTCACTAAGTCTGGTCAGAACCTGGAGCAGACCAGAGAATGTCTCCTCCTTCACAGTCTCCCTGGGAAGGCACGTTATAAATGAATCCATTTATATAATTATTTCTGTTGTTGAAAATAATACTTAATGGCTTTAAGTTGTCAAACTAAAAAGCTGTAGGTTGATTCTTGTTTTTAAACAACACAAACACACGAAAGATATCGTTTCATGTCATTCATTTTTTAAATTAAGTATCAATGTATATCATTGATGCATGATATTATTGGGCATTTACATCGCATGCCCCCCGGACGCCTCCCTCGGGAGGTGCTCGGGTGCCGTCCCTCTGGGAAGAGACCTAGGACACGCTGGAGCGACTACGTCGCTCGGCTGGCCTGGGAACGCCTTGGGGTCCCCCCAGAAGAGCTGGAGGAAGTGTCGAGAGAGAGGGAAGTCTGGGTGTCCCTGCTCAGACTGTTGCCCCCGCAACCCGGCCCCGGATTAGCGGTTGAAGATGGATGGATGGATGGGTGGATGTATATCATTGACAGTAACAGACAGCATTTTTTGTACATTATTTGATAACTTTGTTTTTTAATAAATAAATGAAAGTATCATATAATATTAACTGTCTTGTATTAGGAAGAGGACTGTTTAGTAGGGAAGAAAATCTTGTTTGTTTTTAATATTTTTAAAAAATGGCTCGGAAATGGGGTTTAATAGCATACCAAAGTAATAAAAAAGGATAATAAAGAACCTTGAATTTAATACGCTAACCTTGCCCTTATATTATCAAAATAATAAATAAAACGTTTACGAAAACGACAACAAAATAACAATTTTGTCTGCCTGTTTGTCCGTTATTTAGCCGAAAGGCTAACGCCGTCAATTGTCGTAAAAACATGCCGTAAATGACATTGTCTGCACCTGAATTGTTCGTCCCGTAACGCAGCCGTGATTGTTTTCAGAACCTGCAGGTGTTCCGGGCTGTGTTTTTCATTTAATAAGACAACGAGAGACGCTGATATATCCATGTTTCTGTCGTTTCGCGCTGCCATGTTTGTCAGAAAACATCATGTATGGGCGGGACTTCCGTCCGGATCTTTAGTTGTCTATTGGTCAGAGCATGGAAAAGGGCGGGGTCAGTATATGTGCTGCCGTTGATACAGAGAAACGCTGTCATTGAGGTGCAATGGGGATGATTTTGGTAAAATTACTTTATATATTGTGTTTTTAATGATTGAAACGGAATATAAAAACTCAACTGATGGTTTTATGAATGCAGAATTTTCATTCACACAGATGAATAGTTTTTTTTTTAGTTATCCCTTAGTGAGCCAAAATACTGTTGAATTGACATCATTGTCACTCAACTGTTTATGTACCTTAGTACTATTCCCACTAACTCCTCAAATGTCAGTTCTGAAGCGGCAGCTGCAGCCACTTCATACTGGTCTAAAGGAAAAAAAAAAGTGGTCAGATCTAAGCCCAGGCAAGTTGTGGGACAATCGCTGCAGCTGCAACAAAAAAGCCACAGGACAAATCCTGTGGGATTTACATTTGAGGTGATGAATTTTAGATTACAGTGTTTTCCTCCGTCAGGTTGTCCCCTGTGTTTTCACTGGCCTGGCACGGCGCTACGGCGGAGGGAAAAGCAGATCGACATGGAAGAGGGTGGATTACCCATGGTAAGAGGTATCCACCTCAAGCAATTTGTCAGCTTCAAGATGGGCATTCCAAGAACCAAACATTCCCATTATATGACTTCCATTATTCATTCTTTGGAGCAGAATAACTGGAAATATCCTCACAAACTGGAAGTGGTGAGCTGTGATGAGGAATCTGAAGAGTTTAGTTACAGGAAAACTGGGACATCCTATCAGGTTTTAGTTATTCTGGAAACCTCAGAATAAGTAAACGGGTCGAGTCTAATAGACTCTCTCTCTCTCTCTCTCTCTCTCTCTTTTATGACTCTCTAGGGCAAAACTCAGTTGCGGTCCTTATTATTCACAGATGGTCTTATAGCCGAATAAAACAAAACAAAACCAAAGTTGAAAACAAGAATGGCCTGTGTCACGTATGTTTGGTGACAACAGTAGAAGAAGAAGAGGAAAAACTCCAAGCACGACTACAATGGCTCCCAAACATCCAACTGCAGCTGTCACATGAGGTGCATTCAGGTACCATCGGAAATTTGAGAATTGTATGATTGCAGTAGTTTGTATGTTGTATAGCTCAGGGTAGGTAGGTCAGAGTGGAGGTCGCCACGATGCCATCTGCTAGAAGAGGGGTGTCAAACTGAACATGAAATGTTTTTGTATTTTTTTATTTTCAAAATTCAGCATATGAAATGTTTTTGTATTTTTTTATTTTTCAAAATTCAGCATGAATTTTTGATACATGATATGAATTCATGTTTGATACCCTCTATATTATGAGCCATAATTTCGCCCAGAAACCCAAAATGGCTACAACCGACTCTGAAGCTGGTCACAACTTTTTTAAACTTACTGACAAAAACATATGAACGACAAGGTCTCAAAACTGTAAATACTGACATGAGAGTAAAATCAGAATTGAATCTGAATTCCAGATGTGAAACCAGAACTTTAACTTGTCCATTTTTAATTCAGCAACATGTTTTAAAAATTATCTTTTTATAAAAATCAAACGAACTTGATTTACGGTGTCATCGAATTGACAGGAAATATTTTTTAGCAAGTGCAATAAATCCAAAAGCTGAAAATACTTCAAAACCATGAGATATAAATAACATACAAGTATAATGATCTGTGTACATCAGAACCAGTACTTGGAGATGAAAAGGTTTATGACGATAAGATTCTGATGTGAAAATACCCCTGACTTGAAGTACTTCATGGCAACT